TTAATCTCTAACTGCCTAATTTATAAATTAAACTTTATTATAGGTATGTATGTACAAAAAAACCCCCATTGTATATGTAGGTTCAGTACTACCTGCAGTTTCAGGCATCTACTAGGGTCCTGGAACATATCCCCTGCAGATACGGGAGCACTACTGTATCAGGAAAAAGAGGGGAAAATGAAAAAGCATTTGATAAAATCCAACACTCATTTATAATAACAAGCTAGTAATAGAGGGAAGTTTCTGTTCTTGAAAAAGAACATCTACATAAAACTTGTAGGTAACATCATACTTGATGAAAAACTAGATGCTTTTCTGGTAAGATAAGGAATAAGGCAAGAAGTCTGCTCTCACTACTCCTATTCAACATTGTACTAGAAAACTCAGCTAATGCAACAAGGCAATAAAAGGAAACAAAAGGTATACAGATTAACAAGCAAGATATAAAACTTTCTTGAATATGACATGATTTTCTATGTAAACATTTGAAAGAATCCAAAAATCACTCTGGGAATTCATAAGAGAATATAGCAAGGTTTACAGATACAAAACTCCATTTCTTTCCTATAGACCCACACAAGTACAGTCAACTGATCTTTAACAAAGGACTAAAAGGCAATTCAATGGAGAAAAGAAAGTATTTTAAACAAGTGCTGGAAATAGTGGTTATCCAAAAACACAAACAGAAACAAAATTGATCTAGATATAGACCTTCTACTTTTCACAAAAATTAACTGAAAATAGATCATAGATCTAAATGTAAAATGCAAAAGTAAAAAACTCCTAGAAAATCACAAAGAAAATCAAGTTGACCTTGGTTTAACTGACAAATTTTAAGATACAACACCGAAAGCAAATTGTAACGATCATTAAATGAAACCCCATTCTACAAAAGACAGTGGTAAGAGAATGAAAAGAAGGGCACAGGCCAGGGAGGAAAAAATCTCTGTAGAACATTTATCTGATAAAGGACTGGCATCCAAAATGTCCAAAGAACTCTTAAAACTCAATAATAAGAAGACAGACAATCCAATGAAAAATGGGCAAAAAGATCTAAACACACATCACTGAAGAAGATACATAAATGGCAAATAAGCATATGAAAATAAGGTCAACATCAAATGTCATAGGGGAATTGCATATAAAACAACCATAGAGATCACTAGATACTTACTGCAATGGATAAAATTCAAGACTCAGAACACCAAATATGGTGAAGATGTAAAGCTACAGGAATCCTTATTCACTGCTAGTGGGAACGGAAAATGGTATGTCTACTTTGGAACACAGGTAGCTTCTTACAAAACTAAACATGCTCTTCCCATAGGATCTAATGATCATATGGGTCTTTACCCAAATGAGTTGAGAACTTGTATTCACATAGAAACATACAAACAGATATTTATAGCTGTCTTATTCATTAAGATATTCTTCAATAGTAGAATAAACAACCAACCTGTGATATAACTATATAATGAAATATTGTACAGAGATGAAAAAAATAAGGTTTCAAGCCATGAAAAGACAAGGAGAATACTTAAAAGTATATTGCTAAGTGAGAGAAGATACTCTGACATGGCTACATACTGTATGATTCCAAGTAGATGACAATCTGGAAGAGCCAGTAAAAGATCTTTGCTTGTGAAGGATCTGGGGGTTGGAGGGAGGGATGAATGGATAGGTGAAACAGAGGGTATTTTGAGGGACACAAAACTATTATATATGATATAGAAATAATGGTTATATTTCATTATACATTTGCTAAAACCTATAGATTGTATAACACAAAGAGTCAATACTAATATAAAGAATGAACTTTAGTGCATCAATATTGATCCCTCAATTATAACAAATACGTGTAACATAATAATAGGACATGTGACAAACTGCGGCTGCAGTTTAATCAGAAACTACTTTCTGATTAATTTTTCTGTAAACCTGAAATGCTCTGGAAAAACTGAAATCTCATCATTTCATATCTTAAAAAACTACTAGACTTCAAAAAAATTAGTAACTATGCCCTGGCTAGTGTGGCTCAGTTGGTTGAGCATCTTCCTGTGCACTCAAAGGTTGCCGGTTCAATTTCCAGTCAGGGCACAAATCTGGGTTGTGGGTTCAATTCCCTGTGGGGGTGTGTGCAGGAGGCAGCCGACTGATGTTACGCTCTCACATCAATGTTCTCTTTCTTTCTCCCTCTCCCTTCCTCTCTCTAAAATCAATAAACACATATTTTTAAAAAGTTAGTGTCTAGTGAATTTTTTATCCTTCATATGCATTGTTTGTGTAAAATAAATAAATTACTATTTAATAGTTTGTTTTTAATTAACTTCTGCTATTTTAAATTTAATATTAATTTAATTCTAACTTTTGTATTTAGGAAATCATTCTAAGGTTAAATTCTTTAAACATGAAAGAGTATAAAAGTGCAAACTGTCAAATATAAAAATTTTCAGATCTCCTTCTAACTAAAAGGAAAGAGACATAGCTGGTCTCTATTTCACATTGGGGATATTGTCAGAAGTGAGTAGTTTAGGGGTCTGTATTTAATCCCTGAAACCTACTATGATTTTCAAAGATTTATAAAAGCTTGAGGTTTTTTTCTCATACCAATTCAAATAGAAATTCATTTGCCTTAAAAATAGTATAACCTTTTAAATATCAAAGTTCTCTAGGGACATGCAGATACAAAAACTGATCTTAAACTGAAAAATGTGCCCAAGAACTTATATATGTCCATCTCATAGTCTGAGATTCTAAAACGAAACAAAATTTCTGTTTGGTACCAGGATTTTCTTGCCTTACACACTTATTTCTCAATCAAGTTACATTTTCAAAGTCCAACATCAAAAATCTTTCATACTCACACAGGAAATAAAATTGTGTACTACTAAAAGAAACTACAGTTAGTCCTGGCCAGATAGCTCAGTTTAGAGCACGTATGCCAAGGTTGCAGGTTTGATCCTGGTCAGGGCACATACAAGAATCAACCAACAAATGTATAAATAAATAAGTGGAACAACAAATAGATGTCTCCCCCCACCCCCACACATCCTCCCTCTCTCTCCCTAAAAATAAAAAAAAAAAGAAAAATAACATAAAAAAATAATAATAAAAGAAACTACAGTTAAATGACTGAAATATTTAATAGATAAAGATATCTAAAAGAAAGAAATGTAAATATTAAAATCAGCTCAAATAAGCAGCCTGGAGTTAAGAAAAAAAACTTACATTCAGAAAGTTAAAAATTCTCAAGCTTGAAGTCTAGATACTCCTGGTTGAGCTACAACTCCTAAAGTGGGTTAGTCCCTGCAGAAGGACCATATGTGCCACCTGAGCAGCCCCAGGAATGAATTCTGAGAGCTCCACATGCCCTCCTCTCCTGTAAGCATGGAAGTGCTCCCTCCCCTAGGCTTTCATTCTCGTGAGGAAACTCTCAGACTGATTCATTCATTTTAAGAGTCTGACCCAAATTCATAAACCTTTTGTCTAGGAGACAGAACTCCTGACCTTCACATACTTCCTCTAGTGGCACAATCAGTTAGTGTGTGGTACTTATACACAGACTTTGTCAGTACACCTATATCATGGATGCAAAACTTAACATGTAAAAATGGCTAGGCCTAAGGAAATTCCCTTTGCCCCTCAAGGTTGGGGTCGTGGTTTGGAGTCACTGGCCTCAGAACTCTGTGCCCCAGTCACAACGTTTCGGATCACCACTTATAATTTAAATGACATAAACCCAGTGTTATAAGAATCCAAAATCACTTAAACCCAGTGTTTACATGCAAGGAGGAAAGAAAGTTGTAGGGGACTTTTACTAGTTCAACAAGGAAACCCACAAATACCTATTTCTATCAGAAATGAATATCAGTTAATTATTATGTCAAAGAAACTGATTTGTAAACAATCATATTGGAACACTTTTAGATGATGTAAGTCTAAGCCCTGACATGCCATTTGAAATCACCCTAAAGTTAAGAACAGATATCAAAATATTACTACACCCATTTGGGGGGCGGGGAAACAAAAATTTTACCTAATGCATGTAATAATGAATTTATTTTTTCTTTTCTGAAATCCACCTCTTTCTTGTCTCTTTGGAAATACTTTTTACTGTATCCCAAGCTCTAGTGATTTTTAAAATGTTTAATTTCTTGAAAAACTGTTTCAAGTGAATAAATCTTTTCAAAGTGACAAACGTAGGGAGGGGCAGTACTGACCTGAAATTGTGCTGAAAGCACGTATCACCCAGGAGTTTCCCGGGAGGAACATTCACCCAAAGGACTTCCCCTAGGATGTCTGTTCCCACAGGAAAGATCCTGGGGGAGAGGAACAGGGATTCATACAGCATATTCCAGGCGGTTATTCCCTGCTGTCCTCTCATGTAAAATACAGTATACACAAACTCAATCCTTGAAAAAAGTCAATCCGTGGCTCAATGGGCAAATAATAAAACAGTGCGTCTGTGAGAAACGCGCCGCGGAGGACAAACAGTTAATAATGATGCCGCGAACTGGCCAGGGGAAGATGGCGTCTGGGAAAGAGGGGAAAGACCCGGAAACGTCGGGACTAACTGCCACCCTAGGAAGAGTTAGGCTGAGGGGACAGGGTCGTGGGTTTGAGGCTCTGCTTCCCAAACATTTGGAAAAGTGAGGGGAAAACGAGTCCCCTGGGGAGAAAGAGGAAATGGGGACCCCACACGCCACAGCTCCTCCGCACAGAACCCTGGAAAATGAGTCACGATTGTCCCCAGATGACCCTTCCCGTGGTCACCGCATAATCTAGGGCTGAGGCGACCACGCGCAGTGACAGGCCGGCACGGCCGGGTCTGCGCTGCCGGCAGAGCCCCCATGCTGCGTGCCGGAGGGGACTGACGTCCAAGCCCACTCGGGTCCGGGTCCGGAGACTACGGAGAGACCTCGGGGAGGCCGTGTCCCACCTCGGCGGGTGCCAACCACCTCCTCATCCCCATCTCCTGACACCCACCCCCGCCCACTCACCATTTCTCGGTTCGGGGGGTTCCCTGTCATCCACCTTCCGACTCCCTCCCGCGGCAAGTGCAGGCCACAACCCCGGAGGATGTGTCGCAGCTTCCTCAGGCCTTCGGAGAAGCGAGCGAGGGTCCACAACGTGGCAGGAGTAGGAGCTACCAGCAAGCAGTCCACGCCGTCCACGCCGGCCGCGGAGTCCACGCCATTATCAAAGCGCCACCCCCACAAACGTTACCAAGGGCTCCTCCGATTGGGCAGTTGCAAGGCCCCGCCCTATCGTGACTGAGTGACAGCGGGCGGAGGTCTAGTCTGAGCTGCGGTGGTCTTGGCAGTGGGCCACAATCTGCCCTTCCAGCAGTACTGCCTTTAACCGCACGGCTGTTCACGGAACTGTGACTCTTCTTCCCAAACATATTCTTAAAAGTGACCTCACCATAGATAATGATCAGTCTGGCTCCATTTTGATATTTGACCAGTTCCCCGGGGGAGATGTCCACCCTTCTGTCCCCCACCCCCACTCATCTGGTACTTT